ACAGGTACAAATCTGACTATTTAACCTGTAGTGTAGGCGGAAGTGAACAGCATCAAATCAAATGACAAAATTAAACACACTACGCAAAAAATAAAAAATAATTAGCCAATAAAATCAACTCCAGTCAGTAAATAAACACAGGTTCCTGGATCCTCCCTAAGTTTATAAAAACTAGACATTCATTTAACACGACAGAACTGACAGCACTAAAGAGACACGAGTCAACCTCTGCGTCTTGTCTTTCTCAAGCAACAACTGACACCATTTGATCTTGTCTACCAACGCCATTTTCTCTCTTCCTGGAGACTATTCATGTTCATTTCCTTACAGTCAAGAGAAGAACTTTCTAACTTGCATTTCATAAGTAATTACAGTTAAAATTTGTGTATCTTCTGTTTAAATAAATCTGAACACGCAATCATCTTTTCTCTCTCTTTTTTTTCCTTTTTTTTTTTATTTATTCAAATGGTGACACAAAGAATCTTTCTAATCTGGGGTTGAAAAGATGGATTCAGACCTTTCCTAAAGATATTTTCGCCTAAGGGAATTTAAGGAACCTGATTGAAGTCGAACCCGGTTCTCCGGAATAATACCAATGTAAAATAAAAAATAAAAATAAAAAATCAACGAATAACAGAATTTGAATGTATACACTTTCATTACGAAAAAAAAAAGTTAATATCGATCAGTATTCTTCAATTGATTATTTGTCAGTTTTTACGCTATGCCCCATCCCCTCCACAGTCACTGACCGTGGGAAAATAAAGGCATTTTTCCACCCACGCACGCCTCCGCAGTGATAAATGAATTCTCCTTTAGATTCATTAGACCAAACGACAGTTATGATACGGAAATAGAAGAATGGCAAACTAACGTCAGCGTGTATTGTAATAAGCACGTGAAGATAAACCATTGTTATCGTGGAGCGGTAGGGGTTGATGTTGCGGGGGCGTTAAGACTCGTGGGGCGGGAGTTGATGATGCTTTATTAAAGTTGGTCTTGAGTCAACGGTCATGAAGCTGCAAAATAAAACATTATTATTATTATTATTATTATTATTATTGCAAAACAGACAACCGAGTAACTGAAGGTAATGCAAATCTTAACCAATAATAATATAATACAAAACAATTGCGAAGGCCACTACTACTACTACTATTATTATTATTATTATTATTATTATTATTATTATTATTATTATTTCCTTTGATTTCTGGTGTGTACACATTTCTTTCCGAGTCCCGCCAAGAGACCTAAGGTCAGAAATGGCTTCATGGCATTTTCCACTGACCAATTAAAAAGCACACACCCACACACATACATATTTTACATAGATAAACACTTTCGTAAGGTACTCGTAAGAAGAGTTTTGTATTTCTTTAATGAAACCCTTCAATGAGTTTACTGGAATCATTTTCCAACTAAACCGAGGGCTCCAACTACAACAGGGATTGTTGATGTTCCCATGTGCCACATTTTTGAGATTTCGATTTCAAGGTCTTTGTATTTTGATAACTTTTTGAAGATCTTCAAACATACATTGCAGTCTGCTTGGGCTGCTATATCAACAAGAAGATACTTTTTTTGTTTGCGATCTCTAATAACAATGTCTGGGTGGTTAGTTTTGATTGTTCTGTCTGTGTGTATTGTGTAGTCCCATAAAATTGTAACAGGTCCCCGTAACCGAGTCTGGGTGGTGTTCACTATTATTATTATTATTATTATTATTATTATTATTATTATTATTATTATTATTCCTGCTTTAAAGCGTTCTACGCTCTCATATACCTTTCGTTGATTTTATGACGCGTCTTCCATACGGCGCCAACATCCAATGATGTACTTCCGTAGGTTTGACTCCCTCTGCCCAAGGAAGGTATTGAGTGCACCGTCCATACGTCTGACCTCGTTGCTCCTTGTCACTTGACTGAACGATGAAATGCTGCGCAATGATAGCTACCCATTATCATGTGCACGCGTAGGGTCTCGCGTCAGCACTTCCCTGTTGTTTTTAACCTGTAACTTCAAAATTGCTTTTTATTTCCGATTTACTCTCGTATATATTTATATATAGAACTATATTTACTAGAAATGGAGAGGAAAATATACTTAAAATTCACTTACCTGTTTAATGCACTTATTTAGTGTCGAAATGTAATTATATTACAAGCGGTATTTCTATACATTAAGATAGAAAACGTGATTGATAAAAGCTGTAGTAATAGAAAAAATTTTTAAAGGTGAAATCGTATTTGCCTCAGTAGGCCTTAAACTATCTGACCACGCAGACGATAATTTTTTTTCTCTACTGTGAGCGGTAGGGGGATGTCTATGCTAAATTATTACTTCTACACGATCAGTAAAGTAATGTTTGAATATTTCTTGTTTGGTTTGGTTTGGTTTGGTTTACGGCATATCAACCTCAATGGTTTATTTAATGCCGACAAAATTTTAATTGCTGGTAATATTATTTTTCAAAAATATATTGCTGGTATTTTTTTTTTTTTTTAATGTATAGCTGCATTTTTTTAATGTATTGCTGGTAATAATTTTTTACAAAGTATTTCTGGTATTAAAAGCTTTTTTTTTACACTTTCAGAGTGTTTTGACCCTAGTTTGGAGGTTAACTATTTGCCAATAACTAGGACCCTAACAGGTGCTACCACCACGGGTCAGGGTGAACCTGGGAACACCAGCAATTAAGAGATGGTTCCACGCTCCTCAAAACCTCCTGATCAGAGGCCTTGCTGTTGGACGTAGTTTATCGTCTTACCCAGGACGGAATATTCGTTGTAATTTTAAAATAATTCAGCAAACGATGTTATTTTATTCAATTTATGGAAATTCGATTTTTGACGATCGCCTTACTCGATTTGCATCGTTCGATAACTGTGCATCTGAAAATGACGCTTTTATCGCGATCACCAACATTTCCCGCCTTTTTGGCTGAGATCAAAGTATAGTATCTGTTCTTATGTACTTAATTTAATTCTCTTTCTCCCAATTCTGTCTCCCTTTCTTTCTTTCATTCATTCTTTCATTTTCTCACTGAAACCAAGTAATGTCTTTTCCCCTCTTTTCACGCGATCAAAACACGGAATAGTCCATTATTTATTAGTTATTTACAGTCATGCTAAATAATGAAGGGACAGACAAGCACAATTATAATAGGCTTAGTTTATATATAGTTTAAGTATAGAATGAGTCTTAAAAATTACTTCAAAGGGTCGCACATTTCGGTTTGGACTGTTTCCTGTTTCTCAGCGGACAGAAAGGGAAATTAGCCCTTGCGGCACTGATGTTCATTTCAGTTTCATACAAACTGTGTGTGTATGTGTGTGTGTACGGTTACGTGTACGCATGTGTATTTTATTTGGCTTTCCCAATGACACGCCTAATTTCACGAGGAAAGTAAAGTTTATTAAAATTATGTTTCTTTCGTTTCATTCCTACTTGTTCACACTATCTCGTAGGTAACCAAACTTTTTTGCTGTAAAAAGAGCAGACCATAATAAGAAAAAAAGCCCCAAACTTGATGAAAACAAAGTTTTATAGTCTAAATATTTACATTATCATTAAGAGGAAAGACCAAAGCATTTTTAAATTATTTTATTATTTTTTTTTAATCCTTCAAACACTTTCGAAATATTGGTTAAGCAAGTGGGCCAAACATTACTATGGCTCTTTTTTTGCGGTAAAAAAAAACACAGTTTTGAAAATCAAAATAATTGTCGGATTTTAACTTAATTTTCAGGACTTATTCATAAATGAATAAAATTATTTTTGAAATTTATTTTTTTTTTTTAGAAAATCTTGGCAAATATATTTTTTTACACCTCTTAACACCACTTACTTAATTTTATGAAATCTAGAGAAATTAAAATACCAGCTTCTTCATATATTTGTATTAGTCCTTGGAGAATTTAAATCATCACAATGATTAAGTATAATGTTTCTTGAATTTTCTGATTTTTCGTTGAAGGTTCTTTTTCACTAAGGATATCATACGTGTAAACATATTTTTCTTTAGAAAGAATAAACGTTTATTATATTTTTTTTTATCTTGATTACAAAAAGGTATAATATGTTCATGTAGAGCAACTGTGATCCGAGTTAATTAGAGGTGTTTCAAACACGCGGACAGACAGACAGTTTGCCGTTTATTTATTTAGATATACATATTCGGAAAGTTAACGTTTTATGATTCATGTGTGGATTCTGAAATTTTAAATGTTTTTTACGCTAAAATTGAAAATCAGACACACGAACACACAAACACACGCACAAAAACGCTCATAAACACACAATAACAATCGCTGTCTACTCGTTTGTTCTCGTGTCCGCGCCCTGCTGAGGTGGCTAGCTAGACTCTGATGCAGGCACATTTGATTCTCTCCAATACCGACCGAGCCAGCCTGTGGTTTATACTACAACCATGTCGAACAGTTCCAGTTCCGGGGAAAGACAGCATAGAAACAAAAGAAAACACTCACATAAAATCATCAATGATGGCTGCTACCTTGTTGACGGGTAATACCATCGCATGCAATCATTGCAACACCCAATTGAGTCTTGAAGGTATATGCCTTTAAACCGGACAAACTTTTAAAACCGGTTACAAACTTGGCAGGCAAATATATTTTGTTGTCTTTATAAATGTTGTCATTGTAAATGTTGTAAATCATTATAAATTATAAATTACAAATTATAAATCATTATAAATGTTGTCATAATAATTGTTGAATATGTGCGAATATTTGTTAAATATGTGTGAATATTTGTTGACTATTTGTTGAATATTTATGAATGTTTGTTGAATATTTGTGAATATTTGTTGAACATTTGTTGTCCTTATTTTTGTGAATATTTGTTGAATATTTGTGAATATTTGTTGAATATTTGTGAATATTTGTCGTCATTCGATTGATTTTTGTGAATATCTACGTGTCTTTTCAGCACAACAACTGAATTTCAAAATTTGCCACAACTGTGACATGCTTACCATGTTGAAACACCGGTTCCCGTACAATCACCGAAGTTAAGCAACCTCGAGCTGGTCAGTATTTAGATGGGTGACCGTTTGGGAGTACTAGATGCTGTAATACTTGGCTTGGGTGTATGTGGATAATGACACGGAATTGTTAATCGGAAAGCCGAGTTCCAATTCCAGTCGTGTTCATTATATTTACTTATGCGCAAATACTGTTGGGAAAGGTATGAATCCACTTCTTCTTCTCCCCAGCTATGGGTTAATTAGTAAGACTTGTATCACTAGAACGATTATTATCTCAAAAAATAGAATAAAATAAAGTTGTGTACAAGGAATATTTAGATTTCGGCATTAAATTGCCCATAGAGGTGTTGATATGCCGCTAAACCAAAACAACTATAACAGAATTGTTAGTATTTAATACCATTTCGTAATTGATCTTTACTTTGGTACGATGACTTCGCATATGTCCCATTGTTCCTTCTTTTCTCAAGCAAAACTTACTACAATTCTCTCGCGTGGAGTCATTCCTATCATCTATATTGTCTTTAACTTTTGCATCATGTCCTTTTCGAATATTTCTTCTCAATTTTTCATTTGCTGAGATCTCTCGAAAGTGACACAATATAAACCGGTCATCTCACAGGTTTTCAGACTCCCCTGTGAAGCATATGTCCACAGATTCTACACGTTAGGAGTTCCTGCTTTTGTTTCCTTAGCAGATAGTTTTATTTTACAATGTGAAATTGTCTCGTGAGACATTCAATAAATTTCTCTGACACTGGCCAACGGTTTATACTCAAAAATTACAGGCTATCCGCCAAGTCACTATACACTTACTTTTTTTTGTTTTTCGTTTCAGTTATCATTCGGAGAGATGTGAGACCATTAGTATTTGCCAGCTTAGGTTTTTCAGTTTTTATAAGCGAATGACTACTTTGTTCATGGCTCGTCAATTGACGTTGGAGCAGCGTTGCAAAATTGCCGCCTGACAAGAAGTTTTTCCGTCCCCGTCTGCAGTTCCGCGCGAGTTTGAGAACTTTTATGGCTGTCACACTGCGTAGCATAATTTACGCAATCCCATGGCAAGTTACGCGAAACAGGATCTGTTCTTGACGAAACGCCGTGGAAGACCTGCTACTATCACTACTAATGAAAACGGCCAACTGTAAAAGCTTGAAGAAAGAATCCACACGGCCTGCAGCGAGGTCGGGAAAGCTATGTAAAACGTCAGAGAGGCCAGCGTCCGAAGATGGCTGAAGGTTGTCAAACACGGAGGCGATCATGTGGAAGTATGCAGTTAGTCTTCAAGGCTTTGGAATATGCTGGCAAGTCTATCATGTAAAACTGCAATGACTCCTTTGATAATGTTAAAAATATGAATAAACTCAGTTTTGTTGTCTAATTTTTAGGAATTTCTTAAAAGTGTATAGTAACTTTTGGGATACTCTGTACATGATGGCTACGACCTTGTTGTCGGGTATGACTGTAAAACTTTTGCTTTAAACAAATATGTCTCTTTAAACCGGATAGACTTGTAAAACTTCTGACATATAGTTCGCAGATATGAGGCATATATCTTATAGCCATTACCTATTATTTTGTTAATCTTCGAGTAACTTTTTGAGTCACCTTTTTCACAAATGACATGAATTGCTTGTATTTAATGCTATTCCATAATTGATAGGTACACTGGCATGATGATCTCGTTATTTTCCTTCTTTACTCAAGCAAAACCTTCCAGAAATATCATAAGTAAGGTCATACCTATCACCTATATGATCTGTAAGTTCAACATCCTGACCTTTTCGAGTATTTCTTTTCAACTTTTCATTTGCTATAAGAGAACTCTCGAAAGCAACCTTTTCATCACGAACCTTTTGCCGCCAGATGGCGCAATCATTTGCAAAGAACGCCCAATCATAAATAAAAACACAAATATATATGCACATACATATACGCTCAATGTTTCAGTCAAATTTTCACCAGTGTTTTAGGAATTTTATTTTGTCTACATATGGTCTTCCGTCTTCAAAAACTCTGTCTCGCTAATCACTATTTGGCTATAAGATGCTATAGACATTGTTGAATGATATTACACTGGTGGGCGATACGAATGTTGAAATATATATTTTATTTCGTATTCACGCAGAAGAAAGAAGAGCTTACCAGACGACTGCAACAAAGAAAAAAAAGAAACAAAGGAAAATGTTGATACAAACTTTTCTATAGATATTAAAATATTGGATTTTGAAGAATTTTCTTAGCTTTGTCCAGAAATGATCCAATCAATATAATATTAACAAGTAAAGATTTCGCCTCCTTAGATCAATAGAGCCTTAGCTCCACTTCACAGTAATCATTTGAGACTTCGCACATTTTTATATTACTGAACGTTCTCCAAAGTCTTCTTTCTTGATCTCCATGTAATGTATCGACGCCTTCTACTTAATCTCGGCCATGGTCTTTAATTTCCCTTTAAACGGCAATGGCCATAAATCATATGGAGCCAAATTTGGACGCTAGGGACTAACTGAAAAGAGAAAGAAAGAAAGAAAGAAAGAAAGAAAGAAAGAAAGAAAGAAAAAAGGCATAAAGAAAGAAAGAAAGAAAGAAAGAAAGAAAGAAAGAAAGAAAGAAAGAAAGGGGAGATAAAAGAAACGATAACGCTCTCATGCGTTTAACGTATGCTTCAGTGAAATTAAAAACCTTATTTATTTATATCCTGTATACTGTACCTCTTAAATAATAAGCTGCATCCATACTTATGATTGTCATTGCAATATGTTATTACAGTTCTTAGTCCCAAATATTTAACGATGCTATAAGGGAATTTCCATGGGTATTTTATAGTCGTTGAAATTGCAAGGAACGTATTCAATTATTAACTTAAGAATTAGGACTCATCAGAGAATTCAAAACTAAAGGAAACCATGAAAATTTTACGAATACTATAAGAACCAATGACGACCAAAGAAACATTTGTTTCTTTTCTATCTTTAAATGTGGCAAGACATTTTTCCAACATGGCAATTCTTATCAAAATAGGATATCTAATTTTGTTTGCCAGTTCAACTTTGGTGTTAAACTAGAAATAAATAAATAGCCTTCAAGATCGTGGGAGATAACATTGGCTATTTTTACATTGTGATGGAAAATCAACAGTCAGCGGATAATAATAATAATAATAATAATAATAATAATAATAATAATAATAATGCATCAATTCTGTTGTAGATCGATCACAGTCGAGTTGATTATATCATTGGGAATTCAATGATTTTGTCAATGGCTACAATGTATTTTGCTATGGCAGATCTACCTACGGATTTGAAGTCAGAGATGTCTTTCACATTGACCGGTTGCCAACCACGGCTAGAGAACCAAGAGCATCCTGCTATTTAACTCAGGGTTTTAGAAGTGATGGAAACGCGCGAAACTGAAGATAACGAACTCGAACTAAACTTGCGGATGTCTCGTTCCGGGCCGCTAACCAATACACCACATGCGCATCCATACTGTTTATGTCGGGGTGTATTGCTTGAACTCTATCGGTTAAGGGTAATAAACCCTCAGCTGATGAAAGATTTGTTGGAAGCAATGCCGTGGTAGTTTCAGCAGTAAAAAAAAATAATAATTCAATGTAAACAATGCTTTTAATCATTTTAAAAATGTTGCATAATAATTATAATTCTACAGAGAAATGGAGGCTCAAACGTCAGAAGAGAAAATATCTACACTAAATTCTTTACAAAAATAAGAATAAGCATATGGTTCGAATATGCACTAACCACGCCCGCAAATGAGGCGGGGAAAGGGGGAAATATTTAAGGTATGACTAGACAAGTCTGGTTGTAAAGGTCAGAGGTGAGGATATGACGAAACAAAATGGGGTTGCACATGGGTTTACGTGAGAGGAAGAATTTGAGCGCTCGGGTCAACAGAAATTAGGTGTCAGGGTGAAATGAATAAATATAAGAAAAAAAGGAGAAAAAAGAGAAGGATAGTGACATGAAGAGTGAATAGTGCATGAAAGGGAGAACGCGAGAAAGAGAGAGAGAGAGTGTGTGTGTGTGTCTGAGTGTGTGTGTGAGAGAGAGAGAGAGAAAGTGGGTGTGAGAAAGAGAGTGATAGTTATGGAGGCAAAGAGAAGCAGTAAAATATTTCATCAATAAAAATACATTTAGAAAGAAAGAAAGAAAGAAAGAAAGAAAGAAAGAAATGTAGAAAGAAAGAAAGAAAGAAAGAAAGAAAGAAAGAAATGTAGAAAGAAATGTAGAAAGAAATGTAGAAAGAAATGTAGAAAGAAAGAATGAAAGAAAGAAAGAAAGAAAGAAATAAAGAAAGAAAGAAAGAAAGAATGAAAGAAAGAAATGTTGGGAGTACAAAACAAAGAAAGAAATGTAGAAAGAAAGAAATGTAGAAATGTAGAAAGAAAGAAAGAAAGAAAGAAAGAAAGAAAGAAAGAAAGAAAGAAAGAAAGAAAAAAAGAAAGAAATTTAATGATTGCCAAATACAGAAATAAAGAAGGAAATGATGTAGGGAGAGCAAAAGAAAGAAAAAAAGGAAGGACAGATTATTGATGAGTTTAGTTTGGAAGGTTGTCCTGCGCTTTCAGTATTTGTATCGATACATGCTTTATTTTACTTCAACCCAGTGAACAACATCTGTAATTTTCCCTCACTCCCAACCAGCATGATAATGGCAATAGTAATATTAACTGTTTCCTTATAAGGAAACATTCAGCAATCATTAACTGAGCAGCCAGTGCTTCTCTCGGTTGAAATTCATAAAAACTTTGTCTTTAAACAATTTTTTCAAGAAAATGGGTTTTTCAAGTCCAGTAGTTGTTATCGATCTTTTCTCTATTAGGAGGCGGGGGACTTCTTTACCCTTTGTTTGGGCTAGTATGAAACGTTCATATCTTTCTACGAGTTACATGTGTTATCCATTTTTGTTGTTGCTATTGGTCCTCAAGTGATGTGCTTTCTGAAATCTCGTACAGCTCTTTGCGATTCTGTAATTCCATTTCAGGAATTTTGAAGGAGGATGAACCTTGCTAAGACCTTCAGGCTTCAATCGCTCAAAGCCATTTTCTATCCACAGATCTGA